AGGGCACATGCAACCTTTTCTGCCGGAGACTTTTTGAAGGGTTGGTCGCCGAGCTCCGATCTACTACCTCGTGGTGTTGGTTTTCGCACAACACTGACGGATAGTATTTTTCTTGGTGACAGACCTGTTTTTGCCATAAAAAAAGGTTCTAGTGGACTGTTTTCTCTTCCCGGAGTCACTGGAATGTATGTACAACAATAAATTTCTCACGTGAGAAAATATTATGGATTATCTAAAGTGTTATACAATGCCCTATTTATATACCGTGATTACATAATAATAGGTATCTATTTTTCGATATGGGACACTATACATGACTAACTACTTAACATAAATAATTTTTCCGGACAAGTTTAATGGGGCCTTTATGCATTTTCTCTTTAAAATTTTACTAGTATAAAATCCAAAGTTCATGAATGATTCGTGATTTTTGAACCTTTTCAAATGTAAAATCATTCATGATTGTTGAATTCACATTATGCTTCGACAATTTTTAACCTTCAAATAAATAATCCACGAAAAATTATTGATTTTTGAACCTTTACTAGTGCAAAATCCATAAAAATTCAGGAACAATTCATGGTTTTCTAATTTACACTATACATCAACAATTGAGAGCTACTGATTCAGATCATTTAAACTTCAGGAACAATTCCTGAATTTTGAACTTTAAAATATTCAAAGTCCAATAGTCGTTCCGTGTGGTAAATAGGGGTATTTCTATCCAAATTTATATTTTCGCATTAATAAATGATTACTTTGTCAATATAATTTAAAATATGGATAAACACTAATAATCGACCTTAAATATAACTATTTACCAAGATCATCCAATCTTTTCTGGATGGCTAAATTTGGTTCAAGGCTCAATAATCAATATTTTTCAAAGAGAGTTCACAATTACCATGCATCATTACCCTATCTGAAGAAAATCCTTAGGTCTCTTGTTACGGGTAGAGTCAGGAATTTTAGTAAGGGGTATAAAAATATAAAAAAGTAAAATCATAAAAAAGCTAAAGAAATTTAACATATAGTGTGTATATATACATAAAAGATTTGATTTAACTATACGGTGTAATGTTTCGACAAAATCCCTTACCGGATTACACTAAGGTATAGGGGTGGGCGTTCGGTCGGTTTAGTTCGTTTTGAAGAAATTCGGTTCGGTTGTTTGGTTTTTGATTTTGTTAAAGTAGTAACCGAAACCGAACTGAAATAAGTTTGGTTCAGTTCGATTTTTTAATTTCAGTTCGGTTTATTTCGAATCGGTTTTCGGTTTGAACATTATCATATTGGGCTTCTTCTATGCGACTAATTTGTTGGTTTTTTCCAAAATTTCGAACTTCTTGTGTGCTTGAATGTGATAAATCATAAATCTATTTTTCTTATTTATATAAATCTGATTTGTCCATACTATTACTCAAGAATTTGATAATAAGCTTTTGTCATTTTAAGGTTCAAAGTGACAAAATTACTGTCCAACAAAGCTGCCCAATTCATTCACTTAAAAGTTAAAACCACATGCCAATGTGGTAATTTGCACATAATCGAGAACTTCATTCATTATATCCAAAAGTTAGCTTCAACAGCTAGTAGGAAACCACTGTTTAGTACAAGCAATATTACATAACCAAAAGAGTAATCCGAAGTTAGAAAGTTTTCATGTTGCTGAAGACTCAAAACCAGCAAAATAACTATATTAAGTAGCATGAAACATAAGAAAGTTCTCCACTATACTCAAAAGTCAACCAGCAGTTTATCTACCAAAAGAGCTCACTAGCAAGTTACTACTGCAACATCACTTGTTGATCTAAGTATTTACGAAGATGATACCATAATCCGTAAGTTCCATTTTTCTTCATGTGGCAATGGTGAATGCATTTCATTATGCGCACTCCTTCAATTTCCTCCACCTTTTCATAGTGATCCCAAATAGGTGATTGTAATTTAGGCGCCATGATCAAACCTTTGCAACAAAAAAGACATAATTATAAGTCAAAAACACAATTGATTGATAATAAAATATATCAATGTTATATCATCAAATATACATAAGATTATAAACTTACCATGCATGCCACATGCTGCAACTATATGTCAATAATAGTTGAATCTTTTGCACAATTAGCCAAATCTAAGGAAATTATTGAAGAAAACTTTGTCATGAAACATAAACAAGTAAACTATTTGTAATATAATAAATGCAAAACATAAAATAATTACCAAATTACAGTTGTTCCAGATACTCCAAGTCTTCCTCAACTTTAATAGGAATAAGTTTACTTCTAAGCCAACTGTCACGTCCCAATTTCATCTATAGTTCTCGATGACACCTAACATCACAGCTAGGCCAGCTAACTAGTGAATTAAATATATATTTATTTCTTTAATAATTATTCGAGTAGTTAAACTCTTCTTACTTGCAAGATTTAAGGAAATGTGAAAGATCTGATTAAATAAAAACCAAAAAAAATAATTCAACCCCAATTCTACCAGTGTGTGTGCCAAGACCTGGTGTCACAAGTATATGAGCATCTAGTAGATTATACAAAGGAAAACCAAAATACTGTCTGAACACAAAGTAGACAGAAAACAAATACAAAAGGAAGACACTAGGTGCTGCTGAATGGCTCAGGAGAAGCAACTCACCACTAGGCCTCAGGATAACGTGGGTGCGCACCGGTAGGACCGCCTAAGTTTCCTGTCCCAGATCCTGCACAAAAGTGCAGCAAGCATAGCATGAGTTCGTAAACAACGTGTACCCAGTAAGTATCAAGTCTAATCTCGAAGATCTCGAAGAAGTAGTGACGAGAGGTCGACTTTGACACTCACTATGGGTCAATAATATTTAAATAGACATGATTTATGTGAACAACAAAAATTTTCTTAACAAGCAGAAATAATTAATTCTTTCAATTTTAATAATTTTCAATCTATCAATTAGTTTAACAAGCTGCAATAAAATATCAAGGTATCGTGTAATTATTATTATTATTATTAGGCATGATTTCTGCCGAGGTCGTTCGGCCTGGTCCAGAGTGTCGTGTACACTACCGAGGGACGTGTGGCACGATCCATAGATACATATATACTGTCGAGGTATTCGACCCGCTCCACAAGAAAGGAGGACATTTTCTTATGAACATCCGGAATGAGAAGTTATTATAAGGCTAACATATAAGGATGTACAATTTCCATTAACAGTCAAATAATTTGTACAAAAATTCAAGTATGTGAAATTTCGGTCATTTACTATTTTTTCTAACAAGTTACAATATAATTCAGTACTTTAATTAATTAAAGGATGCAATTATCACAAGTAATTCATGATTTGAGTTCTAAACTACCCAGACATAGCATAATTAGTATCTACGCACGGACTCTCGTCACCTCGTACGTACGTAGCCCCCCACAATTAGCAATAATTATTACTTTAAATCTCCTATGGGGTAAATTTCCTCTTACAAGGTTAGACAAGAAACTTACCTTGTCTCAATGTCCACTTCCCGATCACAACGTCGTGTTAAAGTCTCAATTCGATGCCGAAAAATCTGAAACTATCCAAATATTATACAAAATAATTAATACATGCTCAATAATTCGAAATTAGACTAATAACTCATACACACATGATATACTTCAAGATCAAGATGGGATATCTGGTAATGTGATGGAGCTTCAAGATCATCAGTTGGCAAAGGAAGTTGCAGAGCTGGTCAAGTCTCGAAATCAGATACCTACTGCTGCGATGAAGCTTTCAGATGATGGGAGTTCAAGTTTGAAGGTTTTTAGAGCTGTGAATAGAACTGGTGTGGCTGAGTTAGATGGTGCAATTGCTACTGTTGATAAGGCAGATGTTCAGCTAATTCAAAATCAAGTAGTTGCTCCTCACAATGCTGGTGCACAAACCAACTACACTGCTGGCGCATTGAAGACTACTCCTAAACGAGCTCATACTGCAAACAAACCTGATATGGCTCAGCATCTTGTTAGGGAATCTGGTAATGTGAAGGAGAGGCAAAATCTTCAGTTGGTACAGGAAGTAGCAGCTTTGGCTGGTTCTAATGCTACAGCAGTGAAACAAAATTCTCTATTTTTTGAGGGGGGAAAAGCTGGGTACCAATGATCATTGTTTTCAATCTAGGACTACAGCTGTGAATTGTGCCTTACAACCTTACTGTAATGTGGAAAAGAGTGGTAAGCATGCTAAAGAGCAAATACCAACTGGAGGAAATGAGCAAATACCTGGGCATAAAATTCAAAACTCAGGCAACACCAGTGGAACACCTTTAGAAGCAGCGGCACAATTCTATGCACCTGTACATATTCCTTCAGCTTTGCCATTCCATGATTCTTCTGTGCAACAACAACATCGAGATGGAAGAACTGGTGATCGTGTAGATGTTATAGAATTGGAGTACGAAGTATCTACATGTCCTAAGGACGCCTGGAATTAAGCAGCTTCTTCAGGCACAACTGGACATGTTATTGATGTCAAGACTGTTACAGCACCATATCGATTTAAACCAGGGATGAAAACGTTTAACGATCGAGGAGTAGTGAATGTAAATGATGGAACAAATGTTATGATTGCTGGAGAAAAACAAGAAGGTTCAAAACATGCAGCTATCAAGAATGATTCATGTTTTGAAAGGGGAAATACAGGATGCTAAGGGGTCTGGTTTGGATCGTGTTCAAGCTTCAATTCCTTCATTTTATGGGCACATTAATACTAACCAACAACAGATTAAGGATCAACAATTATCAGGTAAGGAGGAGAAGGAAACTGGGAGGCTAGAATCTACTAAGCAGGAGCACAACACTTCACTGAAATCTGGGTTTTCTCCAAGACATATTGGAAATTTAAAGGAAGGACACGCACTTGGTCGAACATCTGACTTTTCCAGTAGTAATCGTATAGATGTTGGGAACTTTAATGGTCCAAAGGATGGGCTAAGGTTGATGGTACATGTCACATTTTAGCTGAGAAAGATTGGACAATGGTGTACAGTAAAAAAGGCACTGCAAACAAGAACAACGTGCAGCAGGTTGAGCAGATTCACAGAAATAATTCGAATCCTTTTGCTGCTCTTGGCAACGTGAATGATGATGATGGGAAGATTGATGGAGAGAATTTACAGCTGGTGAAGAGTAATAATGCATAGAACCTAGATCAAAACAGCTCCTCGGCTCCAGTGGCGTTGATTTTTACTTCTCTTGGGGCTCAAATTTTGGAGAATATGAATCCAATGCATGCTTTCACAGGAAATTTGGTTACAAATTCTTTAGCACAACACTACAAATCTGATGTTGATCATGCCACTGCTTATAAGGCTCGACTAAACACCTCTAATCAGGACATTTCATCCAACAATGTTGTTAGTTTTTTAGAAGAATTAGTGCACCCAACACGCAGTCATGAGGCTTTTTCCATGATGTCTTCTGCATCTAAAAGGCTAACAACAAATGAGGAAAGCAATGAGGCAATTCTCCACAATTTACAAGAGATAAAGGAGGCAGATTTGACTAAACATTATACATGGGCTGAATAAATAGAAGAGGATGAAGAGGAGTATGATTCTGATAAGAAATATGAGGAAGATGAAGACGAGTATGTATCCAAAAGTTGGGTAGATCAGGTTGAGGAGGAGGAGTGTATAGAGGCAGATTCAACGGACAGTTATCGGGCAATTATTAAAGAAAATTCCAGTCCTACCATCACACAAATAGTCAATACACCAAGATCAAAGGCATCAACAGGGAAGAAAAAGAAGTTGCAGCAGGTGCAACATGCTGAAACAGTGAAACTGCACGATCAGCAGGCTCCTAAGTCCTCCAATGTTTTGTCAAGCAAGAGAGGTGTAAGTCCAAATGCTCATGTGTTTGTCCCTAGTGTGCAGAACCAAAATGCAGCAATGGTATTGCGTAATAAGGATACTGTTTATCCTATCGACAAAGCTCTAACTACAGCTATGTCAACAAACAAAATTTCACATACTGCAAGGTACAATTTGACTCCGACAAACATCCTTCAAGCACTTGTATCTCATGACATGGATACATTGAATCTACTTGGTAAGAAGGCAGTTGCTACTACTTCCAACACGATTGGCATGGTAGATAACAGTCATGATCCAGGAGCTTTAGTGCTGCCAGGATACAATCATAGTGACGCGTTTGGGATGGAAGCGGGTCAAGATTTTTATGAAGAAGGGGAAGAGGAATAACTACTGGATGCCACCTTCAAAAATGTAGCTAGGGAGGGAGATCTTTCACCTAGACACATGAGAAGTGGATCCAACAAAAACAAAAATAAAACACATGAAAGGCAACATAGTTGGGATGGCAAAGCAACACAAGAGGTTGTCATTAGGAAACCACCAATGAGAACTGTAAAGCAAAAGGTGAGTGTCTCTATCACCTCTACAAGGTCAAATAAATCAAAAACGAAATGATTAAGTTTGAAGAATATTTGAAGATAGTGGAAGAAGAAGCCAATGAGCTACAAATTAAAGAGTGCACACAAGGTTGGGGGCAACCTTATCATTTTTTAAGTATCATCATTTGTAAATATCATCAGAGAGTATGTTATAAACTCTATGATGATCGTAGAGTACTTCGTTATTTCTAGCTCGTATTTTCTTCATGCTTGCTAGTAGATGAGGTTTATTATGCCTCAATAGGATTTGTAAGGTTAGTTCTAGCACAGTATGTGTGTGTTATATTGCTATGCCTTCGAGAAGATCCAAGCGGCTATGAGCTTATATGTCCTCGTGAGACTTCTGCCGGCAGTTACATCATGATCCTCTACATGAGGATGCCATCTTAAGGCAATGGAGGCGCAAAAGAGTAATTATATAGCCAAGGTATAGAGGCAATATTGTTGTAGTTATCCCCCTTACTTGTACTTTTCCATTGTGGTTTCTTTTTTCCTTTGTTATTAATAAAATAGTTGTTAGGCATGCCTAATAGTATAATTTTCCAAAAAATAAATTAGACTATTAAATTAATTATCCGACCCAAAATGGTAAAATTCCTAAAATTCACCCCGGGCCCACGTGCCCGAATTCCGGAAATTTTTGGAGGAAATCGTTACCCATAATCTCAAGAACTCAAATATACAATTTCCATCCAATTCCATCACCAATTTCGTGGTTAAAATCTCATTTTTATCAAAACTTAGGTTTTTCATCTAAACCCTTGATTTCCACGATTTACAGGTTATAATCTACCCATAATCTATGTATTTAACTCAAAATGTGTAGAATTAACTTACCTTTAAGTTGCTAGTTCAAATCCTCTCTCAAAAAGTTTCAAAATCGCCCAAGAATGGAAGAAATATGGTTAAATGGCTGATTTCCCGTTCCTTTAAACATTCTGCCCAAACAGCCCTTTCGCTTATGCGGCTCCGCATCTGCGGAAAAGACCTCGCAAATGCGGTTTTCCCCTTAGCTGGCTCATCCGCTTCTGCGATCAGCGGCTCGCTTCTGCGGTGCATGCGCCGCACCTACGTTCCTTCCCTTCGCACCTGTGCCTTTGCAGGTGTGGTTCCTGTCTCGCATTTGCGGTGCCCAACGACTCCTCCTCTTTCCGCTTCTGCGGCTCATGGCTCGCTTTTGCGAGCTAGCACCTGCGGCTGGCCAAGCGCATGTGCGATTGCAGTAGAAGCTGGAAGCTTCAGTTGCTGCTCCAAATTCCAAAATTGATCCGAGCCTCGTTCGATTAACACCCGAGGCCCCACCCGAATATACCAACAAGTTTGAAATCATAAAACGGACTCGCTTGAACCCTCGGAACGTGTAAAACAATATCAAAACAAAGAATTATACCTCAAACCAAATTGATTTAACTTAAAATTTTTAAATTCTTCAAACTTACTACGAACGCGTCAAAATACTTAAACTACTCGGAATGACACCAAATTTTGCGTGCAAGTCTTAAATCAGCATACGAAACTATTCCTAGACTAGAAATTTCAAACGGACCTCGATTACTCCAAAACCTACTCCAAACCAAATTTAAAGACCCTTAAAACATCCAAATAGCTAACTTTCACTATTAAGCGCCGAAATACTTTCGGGTTGTCTAAAACCTGATTCGAACATACGCCTAAGTCCCAAATCATCATACGAGTCTATTGTAACCGTCAAATCTCGATTCCGAGATCGTTTTCTCAAAATATTGACTGAAGTCAAACTTAGCCTTTTTAAAGCCAACTAAGGAACCAAGTGTTCCGATTTCAACCCGAACCCTTCCAAATCCCGAACTAACCATCCCTGCAAGTCATAAAATAGTAAAAGCATATACGGGGAGTCTTATTTAGGGGAACAGGGTTCTAGAAGGCAAAACGACAGGTTGGGTCGTTACATTCTCCACCTCTTAAACAATTCGAACGGGTTTAGAATTATACATGTAGTCTTGAATAAGTGTGGATATATGCTCCGCATGTCTTTATCGGCCTCCCAAGTCGCTTGCCCAGGATGATCTCAAAGTCGGTCATCTCAAGCAGCAGAAGATCTGCTCTAGTTTCATAACCGTAAAATGTAATAATGCATGACCGGTAGATCCAATCCACAACAACGGAATCTCCCACATGAGTGGACACATAAATATGAGTACCCAAGGACTCACGAGAAACACCTTAGAAATGAGCAAATAGAGATGACACATAGAAATATGTAGACCCTGGATCAAATAATACGGAGATATCTTTGCCGCAAATAGAAATAATACTTGTGATCATGACATTCGAGGCCTCTGCATCTGGTCTGGCCGAAAAAGTATCGAACCGAGCTGGAGCGCCAAATGGCTGGCCTCCACCTCTAGGACGGGCCCTACCCACCTTCCCTCCATCTCTGGGCAGCCGGACGACTGGTGGAGCAACTGGTGCGGTAATCATAGGCTGCTGATCCTGCTGCACTGGTCTACCCCGAAGCCTGGGGCAGAATCTCTGCATGCGACTGCAATCCCTGCACTCGAAACAACCTCTCAGTACGATGGACTGCTGACCTGAAATATGGCCCTGATGACTTGAATACCCATTGGAAGAACCCTAAATAGCCGGCGGGCGGTAAGAAATCTCTGGCATAACACTGAAATAAGGTCGCACTATAGCACCCCAAGGAGGCGGTGGTGCTGGATATGGGGGCCTGCTGAACTACCCTCTCACGAACTGACCTCTACCCCCAAACGGGGCACCTCTAAACTCTCCAGAATATCTAAACCGCTTATCTCTCATAACCTGCTCTCGGCTATGCTGACGCACACCCTCAATCCTCCGGGCTATCTCTACAACCAACTCATAAGAAGTCCCCATCCCAACCTCTCGGGTCATAGTGGCCTGAATGCCAGTATGTAAACCCGCAACAAACCTCCGTACTCTCTCAGCATCATTAGGGAGTATCATAAGTGCATGGCGAGATAACTTAGAAAACCTCACCTCACAATCGGTCACTGACATCTGATCCTGCTGGAGCTGCTCAAACTGAAACCGCAACTCTTCCCTCTGAGAGGGTGGAATATACCTATCCAGGAAAATACGGGTGAACCTGTCCCAAGTCATGGGCGGAGAATCTGCTGGTCTGCCAAGAAGATAGGACTTCCACCCTCTACGGGCCTACCCTCCAACTGAAAAGTAGCAAAGTCTATCCCATGAGACTCCAATATCCTCATGCTGTGCAATTTGTCCCTGCACCGATCAATGAAGTCCTGGGGATCCTCATGTTGCTCACCCCCAAAGACAGGAGGATGTATCCTAGTCCATCGGTCCAATAGCTTTTGCGGCTTGGTGGCTGCAGCTGGTCTGGGCTCAGGTATAGTTGCTGCCATAGGCTGGGCTCCACCCACGGGTAGTGCACCCTAGATCTGATATACAACAGATGCCTGCCCATGGGCCTGTGCGGTAGAGGTCTGTGCTCCCCCGTCCGCCTAATATGTGGCTGGCTATACCGGAAATAAATCGTCCTGAGTCATAGTGTCCATGAACTGCAGTATACGGCCCATGACCTCCTGAAATCCCGGTGTGAATGTGAAATCCACCGGCACTAGCTCGGCTGCGGGCACCTCGCCCTGCTCCTCGATAATAGGATCCTCCAGTGCAACCACTGGTGGCATTACTGGAACAACTCTAGGATGTCCTCGTCCCCTACCACAGGCTAGAGCCATCCCTCGGCTTTTGCCTCGACCTCTAATAATTGGGAGAGTAGCTATTCCCTGGTTTGGAACCTCATTAGAGCGCGTTCTCACCATTTGTGAGAGAATAAGAGAAAGATATTTAGTACTACATCAATTGCACAATGGAAGATGAATAAATGTAGTTTCCTAACACCCTAAAGCCTCCCGAAGATAAGTAAAGACGTCTCTGTACCGATCTGCATGACTCTATTAGGCCTGCTCATAACTTGTGAGACCTACATGAATCTAGTGCTCTGATACCATGTTGTCACGACCCAATTTTACCTATAGGTTATGATGGCGCCCAATATTACAACTAGGACAACCAACTAGTGAATTAAACATATATTTATTAAGGAAATATGAAAGATCTGATTAAATAAAACCAAGAAAAACCATTCAACCCTAATTCTACCAGTGTATGTGACAAGACCTGGTGTCACAAGTATATGAGCATCTAGTAGATTATACAAAAGATATCCAAAATACTGTCTAAACACAAAGTAGACAGAAAACAAATACAAAAGGGAGATACTAAGTGCTGCGGAACGGCTAAGGAGAAGCAGTTCACCACTAGGCCCCAGGATAACGTGGGTGCGCACCGGTAGGACCACCTAAGGTTCCTGTCCGAGATACTGCATAAAAGTGCAACAAGCATAGCATGAGTACGTAAATAACATGTGCCCAATAAGTATCAAATCTAATCTCGAAGAAGTAGTGACAAGATGTCGACTTTGACACTCACTATGGGTCAATAATATTTAAAATAGAAATATTTAAATAGACATAATTTATGTGAACAACAAAAATTTTCTTAACAAGCAGAAATAATTAATTCTTTCCAGTACTTTAATTAAATAAAGTATGCAGTTATCACAAGTAATTCATGATTTGAGTCCTAAACTATCCGGACATAACTTAATTAGTAGCTACGCACGAACTCCCGTCATCTCGTACGTACATAGCCCCCACAATTAGCAACAATTATTACTTTAAATCACTTACGGGGTAAATTCCCTCTTACAAGGTTAGACAAGAGACTTACCTTGTCTCA